ATGTCCGCAAATGTCCCGAGAACATTTGTGAACCTTGGAGAACGTTCGTCACTTTGGCTCAAGTGTGCGGCGAAAAGTGTGCGTGCTTTTTCCTCCGTTTTCGACTCGGGTCGTTGAGACACTTGACTGACTAGGTGTTTTGAGCACGAGATCATTTGGTACTTACCGCTCTATCCGGCACTGTCGTGAACATCTCCATGAGTGTCGCCAAATTTGATAGATTTGAAGACCTCGAAGACCATGTGGTCGACTACCTTGCCTCAGTGACTGACCTGAAGGTCTTTGGATGTACTATCGACTTCTTGCAAGCCGACACGCAAACCTGTTTAGAAAATCTAATCTGGGAAAAATTGCGACAAAGCACAGAGTACACCATGGTGTTTCGTAGCTGCTGCGAAGTCCTTCCCTCAAAGGAGATCTTTGAAGGGTGTCCATTCCGAGACATTCCACTCGCAGTCCACGTCCCCATGAATCCGGAGGAAATGGTTCCTGATGGCGCTTTCACAGCGGTGCCGCGTCTGCGTCACGTCAGCATAGAAGCAGGCATCAGGGTTGTGGGTGCAGAGGCATGGCAGTGTTGTCGACAGCTACGGATAGTTAGGATGCCAGCTTCGGTGGTAAGAATAGCAGACAACACATTCCGAGGTTGCCAGCTGCTCAACAGTGTTACAGCGCCTGGCTGTGTGGAGTTTGGCTATAAAGCCTTTGCTGAATGCAGCTCCGGGTCTATGCTATTGAAGGAGTGGCGAATCAATTCTGTAGTTCCACCAAGTTTGGGCACTATCTCTTTCGAGATTGCATCAACTTAGCCACCTTTGTCCTGCAAGAGGCTGCTCATCAACAAGAGTTGCCAGCTCGAATGAATGCCAGGGAGCTGTCACAAGGATGTCTCAGCTCCACTGGGATAGGTACACTTGAGCTTACGCGGGACTTCCAAGTGCTGGGAGCGCATGCCTGTGACAACTGTCAATTGCTGAAGAAAGTCGACCTTTCGAACACAAAGATCGAAGAAATCTAGGAATTTACATTTGTGCACTGCACTAGCCTTTGTGAAGTCAGACTGCCATACACGCTCCATACCATAAGAGTAAAAGCCTTCATGAACTGTGCTGCACTGCCAGAACTAGTCATACCGCCCTCACTGCACTACATTGCCAGTAGAGCCTTTCTGGACTGCACCGCACTCCGTAGGCTTGTCAAACTCCCAGGCCAGCATAAATGGAGGGGAATATATGCAGAAGAAAATGCTTTTGCCATTTGCCCAGCCATGAGATGGCCGCCGTGGTTGCACATGATCCCTGACAGTGGTTGCGTGCCCGGCTTAGCGTAAGGCATACTTCTCCTTACCCGGATGGGAGCCTTAGCTCTTCGTCCATGGTAGGCGGGTGGTAGCAGGGCGGTTGATGGATGGCGCCCAGGGAGAACCTCAGTTGCCACAGCCAATCTTGTACAAAGATGGCATAAGTACCATGCTAGGATAGGTCTCTGTTTCACCTGTTTCACATGGGCCATGCATGTTGAAGGATAGTGACCTCAATGCTCACTTTCTGATGGAAGAGTGAACACCCCCTGTAACCCCTTTGGCTAACGCGTGGGAGCCATTGTGTGTGTGTTGTGCCTCCCTTGTGGGAGGGAAATCAGCACGTTGTTAGCAGTCCTTTCGTTGCGATGCCTTCCACTGCCACACTCAAGATAAGCCTCTGCTTTTCGTACGTGCAATCAGTAGTATGGATTGTGCCACGGAGAGGGAATTTTCCACGGCTTGCCATGCCTTGCAACTGATGACTCTTTGGCATTTGTCATCGGTCAACTGCTGACTTTGCTCTCGGTACCTCGTATGATGTCAAAATACTTCGAGTGCCAACCAGCAAACGTGGCTTGGATGACCTCATCCTTGCCAATGGAGTGAGGCCACATTTGATTGGCCGATCAGAGCAACCACCCACGATCAGAAACATTTTGCCTTTCGTAGTGAATTCAGGCCCTTAGATATTTTGCAGCTCGTCTATTTCACCTGTCTCACTTCCGTACAGAGGAAACACTGCCCGCATTGGTTGGGGGTCTTTGGTTGTGGCCTTTGTTTTCTGTTTGGCGTTGGGTTTTGGGGTTTTGTTGGTGTTTTGGTGTTGGCGTTTTTGGTTTGCTTTCCCCCATCAATATGCAGTGTTTCCTATCCTTCTACGATGACCTGGGCACACCGCCCACATGGCGTCCGCACTCGTGGAAAAAAAGTGTCTGTGTTATCCCTTGCGGTGTCCCTAGATGCCGTCTTGGGGGTCCGCCCTTCTTGAGCTTTCACTGAAGCAGTAGCCCCAGCTGCTGTCTTTGGTCTCGTGCCCTTTTCGTCACGATGTTGGACAAAGAGCCCTCAAGCTATCTATGATGATCTCGTTTTGTCCTTTGGTGAACAGGGACTGCTCAAACAGCATTTAGGTCCCCGTAAGGACATGTCGCATTCGTGGAGCAAGGAGGGCACTGGACGGAACAGAGCCAACATCATTGACTGGGACTCTGACTGCTTTCGGGATGTCTCTACAAGCGCAGTTTTGAAGCCCTCCTTGGAATGGAAAACTTCAAAACAATCTCGAAACAGGATGGTGGCTGTTCTCCTGCAGAACTTTTTTTTTTGCAGGAGTCGAGGCGCTATGTGTGCAGGTTATGCACAAGTCCCCTTAAGCTAGTAAAAGAAAGAGAAGTGAACCGGCCAGCAAACTGAAACCGAAGCAACCAAACAAGCCCCTCAAAACCAAGCAAAAAAAAACCACCAAACGCTGGCACGGTTCGTATCTCAGGATGGCTGAGTCAGCCTGAAGAGCGAACATGCAGAAGATGACTTGAGATGATGAGAGAATTCAAGGCCCGAGTGGTTGAGTGCCAACGCAAGTTTCACCATCTTTTCACCCCCATGCACAGATCGAAACTCTGGATGGTCTGGGTTTGTGTCTTTTGTTGGTGGTGGTTTTTTTTGTTGTTTTGTGTGTGTGGTTGCCTCGCTGCCTCAATAGAGTTTTCCCTTCTAGAATGATGACCTGTGCACACCGCATCTTTTTTTGCACGGGTCGAGGCGCTGTGTGTGCAGAGGATGCACAAGTCACCTTAGGCTAGGAAAAGAGAGAGAGAGAGAGAGAGCCGAACCAAGCAGCAGATGACCTGTGCACACCGCACACATGGCGTCCGTACTCGTGCAGAAAAAACACGCAGAAAATGCATGGTCAGCTTGTGCTGTTTTTGAAAGAGTCGCTGGCTTCCAGAGTCAGAATGCCAGCTCTGCCAAGGATCTCTCGCTTGGATCAAAAGTCGGAGAAGTCTGACATGCACACGGGTCCGTGCTCAAAACAGGTGCGTTTGGCAGAAGGAACCAAAGAAGAGCCAGACACGACACTGTGTGATCTTGACCTTCTGCGCCGTGAGGTCGAGGGCTGACTTGAGGCTTAAAAAAAAAGCATCCAAGCGTTTGTCTCAAGACATGGGCGCTTGTCAAGCTTGTCCTAAGGATGCGTCAAAGATGGACGCAACCAGGTTCATGTCTGACGGATGCAAATTTCGTGAAAGTTTGACACACAAACTTACGAAAAGAAAACTCTCAGCATGAAAAATTGTGAAAAGTGTGGGTGCGCCTGTACAGTGTGTGGATCACCTAGTGCCTGTCTGCAGTGCAACTTTTTGTTTATCTGTCCTTGCAGTTGGACTGAGTGGGGATCTTCCTTTGTGGAGCCCTGCAGAGCTGTACAGCTGTGTTGGGTAGAGAACAGCTTGGGAGTGTTTCGAGATGCTTTCTTGTTCTTTTAATGTGTTTTGGACGACTGCGACCAGTCAGACCTCTTCACAAGAAGAGTTGAAGAACTTCGATGCAGCCAAACCGACAGGGATGTTCAGCTCAAAGAGCGGGATCCAAAAAGGGGACGCTTGCGCTTCCGTGTTTTCACATGGTACCGGAGCTCCGAGGATCCTGAGGGTGAGGGGCAGACGCTAGAAGAACTGTTTGCAAACAGTTCTTTGCGCCGGCTTGAGAGCCATGGAGAATGCGACTCCCACAAGTCCAGCTGTGAAACCTGAGAACACTCCTCACAACGTTTTCTCATGCTTCGACTTTAGAACAATTGTTGTGCAAACTTTGGAGGGGAAGATTCGACTGAAGTTTCTTGGATTGATGCGTGGGTCGATGGTGGGCACCTTGACGATCCCTTCAAAGAGTTGGGGTGCGGAACAATCGGACACGCCAGGCTCTTGCACCTGCTTGCATTCGGACTGGGATTACATCAGATGACACAAACACCGTGGCCAAGATACTGTGCGAAGGAAACCTGGATTGGCAATCGCAATCTGTCATTGACACCGTCAAGTCGTTGCAAGAAGTGACCAGGACAAATGTCTTGAGCAAACACTCCATGCTAACTAATTGCACCAATGTCAATCAACATGCATGTAAATCAACCTAAAGCAGTCATGAAAATCCTGGGGCACACCTTCCAACACCTGTGTTTTGGTTCTTTGGTCTCCTTTCGGCTCCTTGGCCTTATTTGGTTTTGTCGTCATCTGGCTTGGTCTGGCTGGTCACTTGGTTGCCTGGTTCTGGTGCGAGGAGGCGACGGCGATTGTCTTGGAGAAGTGTGGCGGAGGAGGTGCCGTTCCAACGCAACGCACCTTGTGTGAGTTCTGGGTGCACTTGAAGATCGAAGGTGGTGGGGTCGCATTTTTTCGAGCAGCGCCGACAGTGCCGACATTGGAATTTAGAGGTGGCCTATGTAAATGTAGCATCCTTTGTAGGCCGCCCGAGCTTGATATTTGGATGAAAAAGGTGCCATTCCAATGTGACAACTTTTTGTGGAAATAGAGAGGAGAGAGGTGCCATTTCAAACAACGACGACGACGACGACG